ATAAAAATTTTATGACCCAGGAGATACACCCCAATATAACATCATAAATCAGTGACGGAGAATTTCTTAAATAAAATATTTAGCGTTATTTGTTCCAAAATAAAATCTTTGGTTTTCTTCCTAAAATTTTAAAAAATACCAATTTATTGCAATTTTTGTCTTAAATTTTCTTGTCATTTTAATCAACAAAAATAAGTATGTAATCTCTACAGGTAGAAAATATTTACAATTCAAGATCAATAAATTTAAGTAGCCCTCAACTTTCTTAGAAAGGATTAAAATTTATAATCGGCAGAAAGTGTTATGCAGACTATGAATTATTTTAATTAGGATTTACATTTCTGTTTGCATAGTCCTGTGATTGTAACACGCAAAATTGTTAGTTCTGTAGTAATGAGCGATAGAAAGCGATATTAATCAAGTTAATTTGTGCAATAAAAATGATACAAGCGTCTAAATATACTCCTGTGAAATTAAAGTGTAATTTAACTGTGTCTAAGAAAACCTTAGTGTTAAATGTACATGAGGCTTTTGTACATAAATATTTCAATAGTAACATTTCAATTTCCTTTCAATTTCCTTTCAATTTCCTTTCAATTTCCTTTCAATTTCCTTTCAATTTCCTTTCAATTTCCTTTCAATTTCCTTTCAATTTCCTTTCAATTTCCTTTCAATTTCCTTTCAATTTCCTTTCAATTTCCTTTCAATTTCCTTTCAATTTCCTTTCAATTTCCTTTCAATTTCCTTTCAATTTCCTTTCAATTTCCTTTCAATTTCCTTTCAATTTCCTTTCAATTTCCTTTCAATTTCCTTTCAATTTCCTTTCAATTTCCTTTCAATTTCCTTTCAATTTCCTTTCAATTTCCTTTCAATTTCCTTTCAATTTCCTTTCAATTTCCTTTCAATTTCCTTTCAATTTCCTTTCAATTTCCTTTCAATTTCCTTTCAATTTCCTTTCAATTTCCTTTCAATTTCTTTTCAATTTCTTTTCAATTTCCTTTCAATTTCCTTTCAATTTCCTTTCAATTTCCTTTCAATTTCCTTTCAATTTCCTTTCAATTTCCTTTCAATTTCCTTTCAATTTCCTTTCAATTTCCTTTCAATTTCCTTTCAATTTCCTTTCAATTTCCTTTCAATTTCCTTTCAATTTCCTTTCAATTTCCTTTCAATTTCCTTTCAATTTCCTTTCAATTTCCTTTCAATTTTCTTTTAATTTCTTATCTCTTTCAATTTCGTTCCAATTTCCGTTCAACTTCAATAATATCGGGTAGGAATTTTTTGTTATCTAAATTTATAGAATATTCTTGAAATTAATTAACAGATTCACTGACAACATAACTCAAAATAGAGTAGGTTATAATAATAATGTTTGTTTAATGTTTATTTTAACTATTACATTTTTTTAAAAAATTTATGTTAACATAAAGAACTTTTTGAATAAAATAAACAAGTTGCGCACGGGACATAGCTATTGTTTATTTATATCTAACATGTAAAGTAAAACTCACAAAAAAATAAAAGTTTACACAAATCGAATAAAAATGCATAAAATACTCAAAAATTAAAAAAATATATAAAATACCGTAAAATATACAAAATAGAATAAAAATACAAAAAAAGTGGCAAAGAGCCAATAGACAAAAATAGAAAATGCACTAACAAGAAAAATAAATTTTTTATTTGGAATTTAAATATATATTAATTAATATGTCTCTCACTATCTAGTAAGAACTTTTTAATTGATTTTTTTATGAATTTTATAGTGTTAACCTTTTTATATATGTTTTATAGATATCGGGCAGCAAATTAAATATTCTTGGCGCTAAATATGTAAGTTTCTTGTCCTAGTGTTTTTTTTTAAATATGGTTTTAACAAGTTGCGATGTTTTCTGGCGCGTATTGCAAGTGTGTTCGATATCCTCTAATATTTTATTTAGATTTTTATACATATAGATAATACCGCCCTACAAAATTTAAAAAAAAAATTGTTGCCAAGTATTTTTGAACGAATTGAGGGTAATTCAGGTCTGCTAAATTAAAAAATAGTTTTTCCAAATTGGTTCTTGTTTTTGAGATAGCGGAAACAATCATTTTTTAAGAAATAACAAATGCTTTTTATTTGACAAATAACACATTTTGCGCAGAAACGAGAGTTCAACCCTTTCTAATTACGTGCTGACTGTTGATCAAGTCATCAATGCGTGCAATTATTTGTCTCTGGTCTCTTGATTTTAACTTTAATTGTAAATGTCAGTTCAGCGTAAGCAGTTATACTAAGGGCTTAGCGTCGCGGTTATTGTGCTTTTCTTACCTATTTTGTGTATTTATTTCGTATTACCTACCTAGTGAAGTTATTTAAATGTAAAAGACGTCAAGTGTAAGGTAGGTACATGTGACGCATATTTGTATATATTTTAATAAAAACAAAGTTACGCTTATTTTTCAGGGGAATGTACACCCGAGCAGTTCTCCCAAGAAGAACTGAATGACCTGATACGGGACCTCGGTCTATCAAAGCAAGAATCTAAACTTCTAACATCCAGGTTATAAAAAAACTGTCTACAGCCAGATATAAAAATAACAATTTATAGAACACGAGAGGTTAAACTTGTTTCTTACTTCAGTCAAGATGAAGATCTTGTTTATTGCAACAATATTTCCAGACTTCTTCGTCAAATGGGAATTCAATGTGTTTCAAGTTAATGGCGACTCTTCATAGACAGTTCCAGTAGAAGCTTAAAGTGTGTTTTGCAACACAATGCCAACCGATATACTTTAATTCCTATCGCCCACTTATCAAAACTTAAAGAAGAATATTAAAACATTAAGTAAGTATTGCAGAAAGTGTGGATCTAAAAATGGCGAACTTCTAGCTTGGGCAGCAAGGTGGGTACACGAAACACCCTTGTTTTATCACATCAAGTTAGGACCAATGAAACAATTTATTAAAGCTTTGAATAAAGATGGCAAGTGCTTCAAATACATATGTAGATAGTTTTCTAGGCTAAGTATGGAAAAGCTAAAAGCAGGTATTTTTGATAGCCCTTAAATTCGAAATTTATTAAAGACTCTTTTACAAATCACATTACGACACTTGAAGCTGCTGCTTGGTGTAGGTTTGTTTCAGTGGTTAAAAACTTCTTTGGTAACCACAAAGCGGATAATTACGAGCAACTGGTGCAACAGGTGTTATTGAACTTTAAAAATTTAGTTACTAATATGAGTAATAAGGTACACTTTCTTCATAGTCACTTAGAAAAATTTCCCGACAATCTTGGCGACTTAAGTGAGGAACAAGAGGAAAGATTCCTCCAGGATATAAAGGCGATGGAGGAAAGATATTAGGGCAGATAGGATAAGCATATGATGACAGACTATTGCTGGAGCCTCCAACGTGATGTTCCTGACAGTCCCAATAAAAGAAAATCGTATAAAAATAGGTTCTTCCCTACAATTAGATATTTTTCCAAATTAAATTTAATTTCTTTGTTTTAATACCTAATAAATCATTATGGATTTTGTTTTTTCGTATCGCTTTTTCGACAACACTGTCGTTTTTACCACCCCATAAGCAAGTTAATGAAGACTACTGGTCTCTTAAAGTGATTTATTTCTTATTTTATCATAATTTTATATTATATCTCAAACTAAATGGAGTTCATATTCGTAATAAGCACCACAAAATTACCTAAAAATCGCACAAATATTGTTGGCAATAAAATTAGTGTTGGACAGTGTAATAATTGTATAGCCAAATAATATAAATTTGTTGTATTATCTGCTTCTTTGATCGCAAACGCAACACATAACTTATAAATTATAACAGTTACAACCTGGAGCTCTAGAGAAATTATAATCGAACTTCGATTTTCGTGAGTGGCCATAATAAAGGTGTTGTCAGAAGCATCAACAGCAAACCGCAAAAGTCTGAATCTGATGTTCATTTATATTTCCTTGTATTGTCCATCAAGAAGCATTGTATTGCAAGGTTTTATCGTGGATAGAAATAATAGATACCGTTATATCTACTATTAATTTTATAAGAAAAAATGGGGCTACTCACTACCAGTTCCAGAATTTTTTGGAAGATGTGGAATCTGAACATGGTGATGTATTTTACTACTGTGAGGTCAGACAGCTAAGCTGACGAGCAGTAATTTAACGATTTTTTTAATTTGAGAAAAGAAATTTGTAACTTGGAGATGAAAGGAAAGACAATACATCAACTTTCCAACAACCACTGTATTGTTGAACTTGAAATTAAATATAACTTTTTTTTCAAATTCTCTTAACAATTTTTTTGACAAATTTTAACTAAGAACCAGTTTTCTCACTAATACTTCTAGTAGTAACAGAATGTTTCCTTTCCTTTATTTTTCTTTATTTTTTTTGCCATATTTGTTGACTTTTCTGTTTATCTTATGTTCGTTCTTCTTTATGTACCGCTACTTTTCCTGCCCTTTTATCTTTTTTTTTCTCCTTTGTCTTTAATAGCGTTCAATTTTTTATTTCTATATTATCACCTCAAGTGTATGTAGATAAAATATTTTCTCCTGCTGGTGTTTGTGTTGCGTTACATGTAGTTAAACTCACAGTGACTTTTAGCAAAATCAATTCTTTTATAGCAAAGTTTTTGTGGTCAAACTACTGTGGCAACAAAATTCTATATTTTCGTATATTTAGGTCCAAAATTTATTTGCATATAAATAAAAAATTGTTCATTAATGAATAAATAATTATTAATTGAGAATATTTTTTATGCTTCTTGGCTAACAAAGTAGTATTGAGCGCCCTAGATACAAAAATAACTCATATGCTACATTTAAAAATCAATAAAACATTGCGAAAATTGACACTGCATTTATTACCATATTTTTTCGTTAAATTTAATGTACTTTTTAGAGTTTTTGTTACGATTGGATTGAGATAAAAGCCTTCTCCGGAATATATTTGTTTTGAGTAATCGTGACTTTGGTATTGTTACTTTCAGTCAAGTGAAGTTCGCCATGTAGTTCCAACGATGATATTTTTGACGAACAAATACCTGACAGGTCTTACAGTGATAGTGTTAGTTTACTGTTTGATAGATAGTGAGAGTGGCACCCCCAATAATAAGTAAGTCATGTTTTATCATTGTAGGTGGGGTTTTATTAAAAGAACATGAGATGAATAGGTAGGTCTTTTTTGTTTAACTTGAATCAATAGTTTAAACTGCTTTAAAATTTTATTCAATGCGAACAATTTCATTTGGGATGTATGTAGACGTTAAATCGGTAAATTTTGTTATAATTTTTTTTTTGCAACACTTTACAAAAAGACATCATTCTGTAATAGAAAACGTGATTTAAGTCGCGAGAAATTCTCATAACGTTAACTTTCGGATATAGTGACGAAAGTTAAATATTAGTCATTTTTCGCCCTCATATACCGGGTGTTTAAATTAAAGTATTACAGTTAAATACCGCCGAAAATATGCATTTTAGAAAAAAAAGTTTTAGACAAAAGTTTTATAGTTTTTTGGGGGAAACATTTTGGCCAAATTCATTTTTTTATAGCTGACCATAATATGGCCACATCAAGGTGGACTTTGGTTTTTTAAATGGGAATCCCATTTTTTTTACATATTCTTAAAGTACATAAAAAAAATAAGAAACTTTTGATGAAAATATTTTTTTATTGGAATTTTACTTTTTGAGTAACAGCTAAATTTTGCTAGGCGAAAAAAAGTTGACCATAGCTATAAAAAACGATTCTAGACAAAAAATTTTCCCTACAAAACTAAAACTTTCGTCTGAAATGTTTTTTTTTATATATATAAAAGGCTGTATATAGCTGTAACACTTTAATTTGAACACCCGATATAATGTTTTGACGACTTTAAATTATTAATAAACAAAGACAGGAATCATTTCTACAGGGTGCTCATTAAAGAATGGGCCAAACTTCAGATGTGGTTAGTTTGGACAAAAATAAGTTCATTTAAGCCAATTCACCTTAGTAGAATTTTGCTTGCTTAAGAAGTTACAGGGTGGAGAAAATGAATTATTTTTCAATATTTTACGATAATTCAAATATTTTTTGTGAAAGTAAATTTTTTGGTGATACAAACGAATACCAGCTTTTTTGTTGCATTACATGTACATGTACATGTTCTAAACTGGCGTGGCAATATAGTATTTTTTTAAGAATGGACATTTTTGAAAACTGATTAATTATTTTGAAAAAGCGTTCAATTTACTTTAAAAAGGGTATACTTGTTGCATGCCGTTGAAATGTATTATTTTTAGGAAAATTTAATTTTAAGTTAGCACTACAGATGTATGTATTACTCCATAATTTCTCAATTTAATAACGTTAAATCTATTCACTGTAAGGCACTGTCAGGATTAGTCTTACATACAAACATCAGAGTTTCGAGTGATAAAATTCGTTATTTTTATACAATGCCACGATATAACTTTTTCTCAAATAGTGAAATGACCGATATGATATCAGTTTACGCCCAACAAGGATTTAATGCACGCACTTCAGCAAGAAGTTACACAGATTTGTATACTAATCGTAGACAGCCCAACCGAAAATTGTTTTCATGTCTATTCAGCAGATTAAGAGAAACAGTGTTCGCCCAAAAAGAGTCAATGGCGACCTATGGTTCGAGAATTACAGCAGGAGAAAGAGGTATTAAATCTTGTTAAAGATGACCCAGCAACAAGTATCCGTCAGATATCTGCCAATGTTGGTTTATGTCAGGGTACTGTGTCTAACATTTTACATGAACAACAATTATACCCGTACTAGTTTACTCCAGTCCAAAATCTACTGCCAGATGATCTTTTAGCGAGAACAAATTTTAGTCAGTTTGTCTAAATAAAAATAGACAAGATCTATTTTTTGTAAATAAAATTCTATTAATTGATGAGGCAACATTTACGAGAAGATGAATTTTCAACTACAAAAATGCTCACACACGGGCTGTAGAAAATCCAAACAGTAAGAGAGTGCGGAACTTTTAGCATGAATTTAAATTAAACATTTTTTTTGGTATAGTCAAAGATAACCTTATAGGACCTTCTGAACTTCCAGCAAAAAAGACTGCAAATGATTACTTACATTTCCTCAAGTACATTTGATCTGCTAGATGATGTTCCTTTAAATATTAGAGTTGTTACATGGTATTTACAAGATGGCGCCGCTGCCCATTATTCCATAGCAGTACGAAATCATTTAAACAACGTATTCCCCCATCGATGGATTGGACGAGGAAGTGAACATCCATGGCCTGAACAATATACACAAAAGCAAATACAATTAAAATTAGGAAGAATTAAAAAATAAATAATATTGTAAATTTATTAAAACAGAAAAAACAAAACAATAATTATCTACAATAATAATCCTGGTATGGGTATGTGGACAAAGTTAAAAAAATATAAACAAGAAGATTTAGAGCTTTACAAATTGAATTCAATATAATGCAACTGAAATTGCAAATAATTTTATTAACTTTATTTATTAACTATATTTCTTTAACAGCAATCAAAAAATAGTTAAAAGTATTGATCATAAAATGACAGCGAGTTTATATGACTACAATCTTTATCCAAGCATTTTAAATTTTCTGGTACTCTTTGTAAAATTATTGATTAACTAGATAAAATAATTAGTTATTTTTGAGCCTTGTGGTTACAATATTTGTTACTTCTCTCTAAACTCGACAATGAGACTTGAGTCATATTAATAACTTCCTTATACAGGGTGTTTGTATATTCGAACGACAACGCTCTATTTCAGAGAGCTCTCGGTAATTGATGAATTGTAATAAAGGAACATGGACCCTTACAGGGTGTTAAAACTTTGAAATCAAAATTTTAAATTTGCTATAAATGAGAAACGCCTTTAAATATTAATTTTAATTTTGATGACCAATATACTCTTTATTAAAGTAATATTTTGACATAAACTTACGTTTAAAAATGTTTATCAGTGACGCGCTATCAAGGTTAATGGTAATTTATCCCCCTATTTTTAACGCCACTGGGAAATATATTATTTCTTATTTTTTATTATTATTTTTTTAAATTCTCTGTTTATTTTTAGTAAATAAAAAGTATACTTTCTATGGAACTAAATTGAACAGTGTTTCAGAAATTTGCTTCCAAACAAAAGTCTACATGTTCTTAATCACTTGTAGGAACTCAATATTTTTAAATTCCAATCTAGTAAGCAGGTGTCAAATTTTTTAAAATTTGTGTTTTTGACAAGATCTTGGTGGATCAAATTTAAAAAAAAAAATATTAAAAGATGTTTTTCTTTTATGGTAAATTTTGAATATTGATTTAAAATTTTTCTCGGTAACTAAGACCTTCAGGATTTCATGTTCCTATATTACAATTCATCAATTAACGGGAGCTCTCTGGGGTAGAGCGTTGTCGGTCGAATATTCAAACACCCTGTATATGAAGCGATTTGAATCACATTTGAAACAAACATATACAACTAATTTTGAATTGACTCTTATTCTTAAACAAAATGTCCTACATCCGGTATTACTGGAAACACTGTAAAGATAAATTTTATGTGTTGTAGAATCTACAATTTCAATTACAAAGTGTATGTCATAGAACGTCGTTTTTCGGACACAAAAAATCTAAAAGTAGAACGCACACTAACCTTGTCAGGTTAGTGTGCTGTCGCAATTGTTCAGAATCTATTTAAACTCCCTTATTATTAGTATTTGTATAATGATTAAGCATTAAATTGGACAAAATATTCAAAAAGGGTATTTATACCCGTTTTATATTTAGTATTAGTGCTTCTTTTTTAATAATCTTTTTCATAATAAGATATAATAATTCTGCAGTCAACAAAATGTTGGTTACTAAAGAAATGTGTAAGAGGCCAGTTGTGTTCTTAGAATATTTTTTAAGATATTTGAGTTTTAAACGTGTTTTTATTAATATTTTTACTAGTTCATTTTATTTAAAAATATTATTATTGAAAAATAGGTTTAATTAAGGACATTTTAACGGATTTACGTCTCAAAATTATAACAGATAAAAAGAAGCAGAAATTTGAGACAAATCAGACAGAAAAGAGGCCCTTGCTTCCTGGTGGTGACATGTCATTTGTCAGCTTTATACTCGGTAAACACTGTTGATAAACAAAAATTGTATACAGGGCATGATTTGTACCGAAATATCATTTTCGAGCTTGTTGGAACAAACCTATACAGCATAATCATGTTTATTGTCAATTGTCATTATCCGTTATCTATTGAAAACAAAGGCCAAATACGTCATTGATTCATTTGACAGAAAATAAGAAATTTAAGATTGAACATAAAAGTTAAACTTGTCCAGTGGCGGCTCGTGGGCACTAGCGGCAGTGGGGCACACACTGGAAAGGAATCCCGGGATTCGTTTTTCCCTTAGGAAAACAAGTTCTCCGCTTAATGAAAATTATATATATTTCAAAACAATCAGTTGGGGTAATAAAGATTTCTGAATGTGACCACAGGGAGCTAAATGTAACCACTCAAAATGCATTTAACTATGTATGTGGCTATTTAATTAAAAAATCATTACATATCCACTCTTGCGAATTTTGCTATCAGAAGCTTTTGCATAATTTCCCACAGTCCAGAATATTTTTCGGGTATTTCTGCCTGCATCCAAAATTTTTGATACCCTCTTTTAAATGTCACTTTCAGCTCCTCATTAGCGCTAAGCTTGAGTAGCTCCTCTTGTAATATCACATTCTCCACTTCCGTTTCATCAACTGGATTTATGATCCATGATGGTATTTCCATCGACAGAATATCTTCAAATCTGAATTTAAAATCATCATGCAGGGCAATCAAATGTTGAGCGTATGTCTGAATATCTTCATCAAGGCATTCTACCTGCGACCATGGGCCCTAGCCCTAGTCATATAATATATAATAGTTCTAGAGGTATACTGAAGTTAAGTAAAAAAATTCTGGCGAATCTATGAAAATGGATAAAATATCATATATAATATATACTTATGTCAAGTAAAAAACCTGAAAAATTTTCATCACAATAATTCATTAAAAAAATTTCCTCATTTTCGCAGTCATGAAATAGTAGTTTGTG